ATTCGTCCAATATGGTAGGAATTTGATTAAGAATGAAATTCTAGTAAAATAAGGAAAAACGCGAAAAAAAGGAAAATCGCACCCAGAAATGAACCATGCGGTCGCATGGTTAAGACGCGTGCGGCCGCATGGTAATAGAATTTTGGTCATTTGATTCTAGGTATCATGCTGTGCGGCCACACCGTGCGGCCGCATGGTTGTACTACACACTCTCGTCTTCGGCTGCTTGTAACGCATTGATCCATTTTGTTTCGGCCTTTGACCCGAACACGAAACTTGTCCCATTTTGAGTCCCGAAAATGGTTCCATCAATAGTTCCTTGAACGAGCAATCCCATCGCTTGTTTCACGTGCTTTTCCCTTGATCGCGTCATTGGTCTGCCATCGACTATCAACGGGTCTCGTCTCGCATTTGCCTACGTGGGGCTATAATCCCCTCCCTCTTCAAAAGGATTCGTCCTCGAATTTGAACCTACATCAAACAGAGAGAGATCAAATACATTAAAAGTAGCTGAAACATTATACTCACCAGGTAAATCCACTTTGTATGCATTGTCATTGATCCTCTCGATGATTTGAAACGGTCCATCGCCTCGTGGTTGCAATTTTGACTTCCTCTGTTCTGGAAAATGCTCTTTTCTAAAATGCACCCAGACCCAATCTCCAGGCTCAAATGTAACGCGTCTTCTTCCTTTATTTGCCTTTGATGCAATCAGCTTTCCTTTCTCTTCGATCTGCATCCTGACCTTTTCATGGAGTGTTTTCACCATCTCGGCTTTTCGTTTCCCATCCAAGCTACCTCGTTCATGCACAGGCAAAGGCATTAAATCCATAGGTTTTAGTGAATTAAAACCATAAATAATTTCAAAAGGAGAAAACGAAGTAGTAGAATGTGTAGCTCGATTATATGCAAACTCTATAAACGGTAAACACTCTTCCCATGATTTCAGATTTTTATTGATCACTGTCCTAAGTAGTTGAGTCATAGTTCGATTAACTACCTCAGTTTGTGGGTGACAAGTTGTAGAAAATAATAACTTAGTTCCTAACTTACTCCACAGAACACGCCAAAAATGACTAAAAAACTTCATGTCCCTATCAGACACTATACTCTTAGGTACTCCATGTAAACGTACTATCTCCCTAAAGAATAAATCTGCAATATTAGTAGCATCGTCAGTTTTATGACATGGTATGAAGTGCGCCATTTTACTAAACCTATCGACCACTACAAATATTGAATCCCGACCCCTTTTTGTCCTAGGCAAATCTAACACAAAGTCCATAGATATGTCTACCCAAGGTTCACTAGGTACAGGCAAAGGAGTATACAAACCATGGGGTTGAACCTTAGACTTAGCCTTTTTACAAGTTATGCACTTTCCACATATTTGTTCTACGTCATGTCGCCTTTTAGGCCAATAAAAATGTTCCCCTAACATGTCTAAAGTCTTTTGAACCCCGAAGTGTCCCATTAAACCACCCCTATGTGCTTCCCTTACCAATAATTCATGCAAAGAACAATTAAGAATGCACAACTTATCTTCCCTAAACAAATATCCTTCATGCCTATAGAATTTATCAAATGCACCTTTGTTACAAGAAATATAAATACTAGAAAAATCACAATCAGATTCATACATGCCCTTAATATGTTCGAAACCAAATAATTTAGTACTTAATGAATTTAAAAGCACGTACCTTTGAGACAACGCATCAGCAACTATATTTTCATTACCTTGTTTGTACTTGATGATGTAGGGAAATGTCTTGATAAACTCCACCCATCTTGCATGTCTTTTGTTCAACTTACCTTAACCCCGCAAATGCTTTAAAGATTCATGTCGGTGTGTATCACGAATTCCTTTGGCCATAAGTAGTGCTGCCAAGTCTCCAATGCTCGAACAAGTGAATAGAACTCCTTGTCATATGTCGGATAATTCAATGCTGCCCCCACTCAACTTTTCGCTAAAGTAAGTAATAGGTCTCCTTTCCTGCATTAACACTGCTCCTATACCTATTCCTGATGCATCACACTCAACCTCGAATGTTTTATCAAAATTTGGTAATGTCAAAACAGGTGCTTTACATAGCTTATCCTTAATTGTGTTAAATGCAGTTTCTTGAGATTCTCCCAAATGAAAACCTACACTCTTCTTTACTATTTCAGTCAACGGTGTGGTGATGGTGCTAAAATCTCTTATAAATCGCCTATAAAAACTAGCCAATCCATGAAAGCTCCTAACTTCAGTTATAGTTTTAGGTGTTGGCCATTCCTTTATAGCTTTTATCTTTTATTCATCGACTTCCACCCCATTAGCACTAACCACAAATCCTATGAAAACAACTCTATCCATGCAGAACGTGCACTTTTTGAAATTAGCATACAGTTTTTCCTTTCGCAACACAACAAGCACACAATTTAAATGTTCTAAATGCTCATCTAGGTTTTTGCTATAGATTAAGATGTCATCAAAATAAACTACAACAAATTTCCCAATAAAAGTACGCAAAACATGGTTCATTAAACGCATAAAAGTGCTCGGTGCATTAGTGAGTCCAAACGGCATAACTAACCATTCATACAATCCATACTTAGTCTTAAACGTCGTTTTCCATTCATCACCCTCCCGCATGCGAATTTGATGATACCCACTCTTAAGATCAATCTTACTAAAAATGCAAGCACCATGCAACTCATCAAGCATATCATCTAGCCTAGGTATTGGGTGACGATACTTTATCGTGATATTGTTGATAGCTCGGCAATCCACGCACATTCTCTAAGTCCCGTCCTTCTTAAGCACCAACAAAACAGGTACAGCACATGGACTCATGCTCTCCCTGACATAACCTTTGCTCATCAACTCATCCACTTGCTTTTGAAGCTCCTTCGTCTCCTCGAGATTGCTTCGGTAGGC